CCTATTCGGTCAAAATCGGTCATCATTTATTTACCCGACAACTCTTTCATCCTTCCCGAGTAAAGAGGGGCAACTGTTGATACCCAATTTTTCCCTCATATATTTCAAAAATGCATATATGCCTTCAAAATAGTGCACGGGCATCACCAAGTATTTTTCCATAATTTTCCATAATTTTCAAAGGCTTTTAATCAATTTATTCCTGTTTTTTATATAAATAATTATTAATTGCATCAAAAATAATTTTATAATGATTTATTATTTAATTTTTCATCATTTATATCCATATTAAGGTTTAAATATTTTTATATATACCTATTTTGCATCCTTAGGCTAAAATTGCATATTTTGCAATAATAGCCCATATATATGCATAATTATATTATTCACACAAAAAATGACTTTTTATATTTTTATAATGTTAAGTAATTATTTAATATCGTATTCATGCACAAGTGATATTTTGTTTTATTTATTAATTATTTTTTATAAATTATTTACTGATATAATTGGGTATTTAAAATCTAGCCCTTTTTCTTAATTAATTTTGGACCTATACACTACCCATTACCTCAGCCCAATATATTAGCCCAGTACCCAATACCCAAATACCCGTTACCCAGACCCATACGCGTCTAAAAACCCAACCCAATTCCTTTTTTAAAATCACAGTCGTTGATCTTAAAAGATCAACGGCTCACAGCACCCCAACCCCTTTTAATTGTATCCCACCCGATCTAACCCTAGCCCCATTTTACCCACTCCGCCGCCCTCAAACTCTCTCATCTCCCCCCTTTTCTCTTTTGAAACCCTAGCGACTCACTCCCACCTCCTCTCCGATTCTAACCCCAGAAATGGAATCAACCTGTGATTCTTTACCTTATTTGGTCCTATTTCCTTACTGGTTACCCGTTCTTTAGTGCTACATAATAGCTTGCCTTAAATGGCAAGCAAATATGGAGAGATCCGAACCAAATCTGGTTCAAAATCTCTAACCTGTTGATTATTTCCGTCTGTGTTCACTCTAACCTCTGAAGTACGAATATTTTCATATATCTTGTGGATTCTTACTTAACCCTAAGGTTAGGGTTTTCAGATCTTTCCGATTCGAACCCAAAACTTGTTTTAACCTTATTTTTTTATGTTATTCCATATAAATCTGCTTATTTTTTGTTAAATCTTTTACTTACCCAAATTAGGGGTTCAAATCTTCTTTAATCGAACTTGATCTGGTTCGATTCTATGAATAACCTCTGTCTATGTTCATTTTACTAAAATACTTGATTCTTTACCTTTGTTTTTTTATCGATTTTATGATTTCAAACCTTTTTTATTTTTTGGTCCAGATCCATTTCGATTGTGTATTATGTAAACATGTGCCTGTCTATGTTCATCCTATGAAGTATGAGACTCTTGCCTTTTATCCTATTGATTATGGTTTTACCCGAAAATTAGGGTTGAAACCTTTTACTGACTTCCGTTTACTCTTTTCTTTCTCGTATAGTACTAATATTTTCCTTATTTTGTTTACCCTACCTTGTTCCTTTGCTTCTTTAACTTATTTGCTGATTGATAATTGATTCTATATGATACTTACCTTATTCTGAGTAGCACTTGCCTGATTACTCGTTAATTGACTGAACTCTGACTTCAATTGATTCTGGATTTATTTTTCATTCCTTGTTTGTGTATGCTTGATTTATTCCCTTATTCGTCTGCCTAATTGAACACTATTTAAACCCTTTCCCCTCTTCCCTTTAGGACAAGACCCGAACTCTCATACTCTAACTAAAAACTTAGTTCTTTTCCTCTGAGTATGTGCTCATTGTTTCTGGTCTTGGCGCTGAAAGTCAAGGCCAAGTGATTCTAGAACTTAACTGCTGTAGCATATCTACTTGCTTTTCTTGCTTAACTGGTAAACCCTGATCCCTTGTCGTTTCATTCTCCATATTTTTCATAATCAGTGTTACTTGAACAGCATGTCTTGAACCTTACATTTAGCATGATTCTACTTTTTATGCTCCTATGACTCTCTTCCAATCTTATGGTTAATACTGTTAGTTTAAAATTAGCTATTTTGACCTCTTATAAGTTATCTTAATGTTCAATTTGTCCGGGCACACTATTTGTTAATCATGTACCTGTTTTGAACCTTGCACTCTTAGGATACTACAAGCATGTAATTAGTCAATTTGTCCTAATTTGTTGCTTAACTCATGCGTCCTGTCTGTTAATATGTCATATGATGATCTGACTGCTTTGCCTAATTTATTTCTGTGATTAAGCAATGGTTGTCTTAAATGTCAGCATGCTCCCTTAGTATAATTAAGTCTCTCTTATGAATTAACCCGTTTGAAACTATGTACTTTGCAAACTTTGTTGTTCTTCTGAATGAAATTATGTGTTCTAAACCTTGTTTCTTCTGAAATTAAACTGTTTTGAAATCGGCTCCCTACTCCCTTTTATAGGCTGATTTTTAAAACATCCACTCTTAGTCCTCTAAGGTTCTATCCTCAACCACCATAGTGTGAGCACTGCTTAGGGTCCATGTGAGACTCCTGTGAACTCTGACACACTGGGAATTGGTTCCTAAGCTCTTTTAAAAACACTTCTGAGTGTGTGGTTCTGGTGTGAGCATTGCCCTGGGTCCCTGAGGCCCTTGGGAACTTTGACACATTGGAAACATGGTTCTACATGTGTTATAGGTAAGAGATTCGTATTTGGCCATGCTATACCTATGAATTGAGCCTCGAAGTTGATTGGTTTGAAGGCCTGGTTCTCAGGTTTATTGGGCCTAATGAAGGCTACCTATAGTGTATTTTATTACTATTATATAATTTATTCTTTTACTCTAGCCTGTAATAAGTTTGTAACAAACAGATTCTAGGGTATATAGTAAAATTGGGAAGGGTCTTTATTCTCTTTGGGCAATCTGGGTAGAAATCCTGCCAATAGGGTTTCATTTTCTATGTTAATCCTGTTTTACCTCATCTCTGTTGAAATCGTGTGAGTAATCTCCTATGCTTGCATATTAGAAATCCTGCCTATAGGAAATTAATTGCATTAGAAATCCTGCCTATAGGTTGTATCAACTTGTCCAACAAACATATGTTAGCAATCATGTCTATAGGACCTCAATGTTGATCTAACTGTTTTTCTTTTCTGGCAATGTGTATAACTTTTGCCTGTATCACTGCTTAATATATCATGCTTATAGGATTAAAATCAATTTCAAACCTAAAGATCATGCCTATAAGATTTGAATCAATCCGGTAATAGATACCATGCCTATAAGATTAAGACCAGTTTCAAACCTAGAGATCATGCCTATAGGATTTAAGTCAGTTCGACATTAGAAATCATGCCTATAGGATTCTGTTAATTGGTTCTGAATATAATCGCCACTGTCAACCACTTAGACAATATGCCTATAGGACTTAACAATAATTCTGGATTCTGTGAGCGTGATGCATTACTGTTTGAAATACCCAGACTATATCCATTAAAACCAGTAGGCAAACAGTAGGTCCTAATACTCGCCTTAATGAAATTGTTTGTGTACATCTGTCTTCTCACATAGATATCATGCCTGTAGGAATTTAAGATCGATAAAGATTGTTAATTGCGTGCATTTGCTGTTTATGTGCGGAGGTTAACATGAGCCAATATTTGCTTTGTATTTGCAAGTCCTAACATGTTTTGATTGTCGCCTAGACTTTTACATTTTTTGAGCAACCTAGGCTTAGTCTAGAACTATCCCAAATAGAAGTCCTAACGCCTCCAAGACTATAGGTAAGGGACGGGTAGTGCACGCATAGGAATCGAACTAGAATTAATTAGAGCGCTTTAGGTAACAACTTAAAGATAGTAATCGGGTAGCAGGAGATGATAGTCTGTGCCCGTTGAATAATATGAGTAACACCTCGACTCAAGGGAGTTACGAAGTATTATTTATGTTGCACGGGGTGATCCTTTAGGCTAAAAAATTTAGGACCCCCCATCCCTATTAAATAATCCTCTCGCTTCTTTATTAGGCTAATTCATAAATTATGTTCAGCTGGGACCCATAGTTATGGACCTCGAGGGGTGCCTAACACCTTCCCCTCAAGGTAATTTCGAGCCCTTACCCGATATCTGGTAACGCAAACTGGTATAACATGAGTTATCTGCTCTAGGTGCCCTAATGCACCTTAATCCGTTAGGTGGCTACTCTAACCAATTCCTTTTTCTTACTCTCTCAAAGGAGTCATCTAAATGTCGAAACCCGATTTCACGAGAAAAAGGGGCGCGACACTGATCTGATTAATTCTTTGTTTCTTAGAAAAAAATCGTAAAAGATGGCAGATAACGACGTCAACATCGCACACAATGTTAAGGCACAAGGAAATCCGCTTCGACACAAAGATTTGATCAGTGACACCCACAATGAGGAGGACGTAGCCATATTGGTCCATGGCGGGCAATATCCACGACACAAATATGAGGCGACTCATGATGATGTCGAAGACGAGCACGTTACGAAAATGGTAAGGATCTTGATAGAACAACAGAAGGCCATCATGGGCCATCTCTCACGGAAAGAGTAGGCCATGACATAATTGAGGCAAGCGTTGTCGGGTGCTTCCAACAACGCGAATGAAAGGGGTCCAGTTGCTCCCGGTGCTCCTGCAAATCAAACAGCGCAAAGGGTTGACAATAATACCCCGAAGGGTGAGGTTGGTTTCGACGGGGCCAGGGGGAGCAACAGTGGATCTGGTAACAACAGCGGGAATGATCCTTTTAAAATCGAGTTCATACGGTGTTTGAGAGAAATAAATGCCCGAATAGACCAAATTCTGGGTGCACCGCCAGTATAAAAGGGACCGAACTCAAAGAGATACATCCAATTGCTTTTCAAATCGAGTGCGGCACCAGAATTAATCTCGAAGCAATTCAAAATTCCAGACGTACCAAAATATGATGGGACTTCGGATCCTCAAGAGCACATCACCACCTACACAATGAGAGTGAAAGGAAACGACTTAGCTCCGCTAGAGATTGAGTCGGTCCTGCTGAAGAAGTTCAGGGAAACCCTCACGAAGGGGGCCTTGACATGGTATTCACTTTTACCCGAGCACTCGATAGATTCCTTGGAAATGCTCGCAGATTCGTTCATCAAGGCCCTTGCTGGGCCAGGAAGGTACAGGCCCTAAAGGCCGACATATTCAGAATTGCGCAAGGAGAGTCTAAATTGCTGCGAGAGTTCGTGACCAGATTTCAAATGGAACGGATGTTGCTACCGGTCATGCCAGATGAATGGGCCGCTGAGGCGTTCACTAAAGGGTTGAACCCGAGGAGCTCCAACGCTTCCAGAAAATTGAAAGAGAGCCCGCTCGATTTCTAGGCCACTACATGGGCAGATGTCCACAACAGCTACAAATCAAAGATAAGAACAGAAGACGACCAACTCAGTTTCTCAGCATCAACCAGGGGTCGGGATCGAGAAGAACAAAGATAAGTCGAAGGATGATTTTGACGCAGATCGGCAATCTTCTAAGGGCCGATTTTTGCTCTACAAAAGGGACGAACGATGCGGTATAGGTTTTCGGTAGGTGGACAGGTTCGCTACTGATAGGAGAACTGACTGAGGCCAGAATAACAGATCATTGCAGGAAAAAGAGATATCGGGCCCCTGGGATTCCACCTACCCAGACTGTTCGAGTATAATTTCAATGTCAAAGTGGTGGAGCAGGTATTGGCGATGAGGAACATTAAGGAAGCGAGGTTCCCGAGGCCGATGAGATCTAATCCCCGTCAAAGGGATCCTATGTCTGGTGTGAGTATCATGGGACAAATAACCACTGGACTGGGGACTTCTACCATGTGCGAAAAGGTGGCGACGCTGCTGAAAAATGGTCATGTTAGAGAATTCTTGAGGGACCGGGCTAAATATAATTACGGCGGAAACTGGGATAACGTAGAGCCCTCGAAGATAGGGGAAGATCCTCCTCGATTAACAATCAACATGATTTTCTGGGGGGAACGAGATTAATGGTGTGACTTTTTTAGCAGCAAAAAAGACAAAGGTATCGGTGACTCATAGCAAGAGACTTCGGGAAGTCGCTGGGGATAACATCAGATTCATAGAAGACGCCGATGGACTCCTACTACTGCATAACGATTCCTTGTTAATTTCTCTTAATGTTTTAGATTTTAAAATTAAACGTGTTTTAGTGGACCTGAGAAGTTCAGCCAATATCATTTAATGGAGAGTGGTGGAGCAAGCCAAACTAATCGAAAGTATCATTCCGGCCATAAAGCTCCTTGTCAGGTTCAACTTTGCAAGTGTGACAAACCCGAGGGGAGATCCTGCTGCCCACAAATGCCGAAGGGGACATGAAGACTACCTTGTTTGAAGTAGTAGACAGCGACATGGGCTACAATATATTTCTTGGCAGGTTGTGGTTACACGAGATGAAGGTTGTGTCGTCAACACACCATCAACTTTTGAAATTCCCAACTCTAGAAGGGATCAAACAAATAAGGGGAGATCAACCGGTGGAAAGGGAAATGAACGCGATCTCGGGTTCCAGCAGTAAAGGAATGAATATGTGGCATAGCAATTACAACAACCGACGCCCGCACCCGAACCAAATGAAATCAACAAAGGGGAGGAGCCGTCGGAATTCTATCAGGTACCAAGGTATTTCCAGGTGTCGGAAGAAACCGATGCAACCAAATCCACGACAAAAGAACTCGAATAGCTTGCATTGTTCGAAAAGATCATGGAAAGGAAGTTCCACTTGGGGACAGGATTAAACCTCGATCTCAAGTCAGAATTTATAGAATTTCTTAAAACTAATATTGATTGTTTTGCATGGTCCCACATGGATATGACAGGTATCTCGCTAGGAGTGGCCATGCACAAGTTAAGCTTGGATTCCAGCATCCCTCAGGTAAGGTAAAAGAAGCGCCCTATTGCCGAGGTCAGAACAAGTTTGTCAAAAAAAAGGTAACTCGATTGCTTGATATCGGTTCAATCCGGGAGGTAAAGTATCCCGATTGTCTAGTTACGTTGTAGTAGTGCCAAAAATAATAATAAATTTCACATGTGCGTAGACTATAAGGATCTGAATAAGGCGTGCCCGAAGGACTCGCTCCCATTGCCAAACATTGATGAGATGATTGATGCAAGGGCCAAGCATGAATTGATGAGTTTCCTCGATGCTTATTCCGGGTATAACCAAATCAAAATGAACCCGGAAGATTAGGAAAAGACCACATTCATAATGAACTTCGGCACATATTGCTACAATGTGATGCCTTTCGGGCTTAAGAATGTCGTAGCCACTTATCAGATGCTTGTGAATAAAATGTTCAAAAAGCAAAGAGGGAAAATGATGGAAGTTCATAGATGATATGCTGGTTATGTCTTTGAACGGAGGTGACCATTTGAAACACCTCCAACAAACCTTTGACATCCTAAGGAAGCACAACATAAAGCTTAACCCCGAAAATTGTGCGTTCGAAGTCAGCTCCGAAAAGTTTTTAGGTTTCTTGGTGTCACAAATGGAGATCAAAGTCAATACCATTAAAATTAAAGTCACCGATGACATTCCGATCAGCTGACAAATGTGAAAGAAGTCCAAAAATTAACTAGAGGACTAGCCACTCTAAGTAGGTTCATTTCTCGATCTTCGAAAAAATGCCATCACTTCTTCTCACTTATGAATAAGAGCCCGTTTGGATTGGCTTATTTTAAGTACTTTTAAGTCAAAATAGCTTTTAAGTCATTTTGTAGTGTTTGGATAAAGTAAAGAAGTGCTTTTAAGAACTTGTTTTTAAGCTAAAATGACAAAAATAAGCCAAAAGCCAAAAGCTAGAATTCCTAACTTATGGCTTTTGGCTTAAAAACTCTTAAAACAAGCCCATCCAAACGGTCTCTAAGAAGAACCACTTTGAATGGACTCTGGAATGCCAACGGTCCCTAAAAGACCTGAAAAGGTATTTATCAAGACCTCCGTTACTATCGAAGCCGGAGGAAGGTGAACATTTACTATTTTATTTAGCAGTATCGGAGGTAGTGGTAAGTGTCGTTCTAGTCCTGGAAGGCGAATGTACACAATATCCTATCTATTATGTTAGCAAAATTTTAATGGGAGCGGAAACTCGTTACCCGCATCTCGAAAAATTGGCCTTTGTTCTCGTAGTCGCCGCTTGAAAGCTTATCCCTTATTTTCAATGCCACCGGATAGCCGTGGTGACAACTTTTCCCACGCGGAATATCCTTCACAAACCCGAACTATTAGGTCAACTGGCCAAGGTGGCAGTCGAAATAAGTAAATTTGACTTCGAGTATAAATCGAGGACTGCGATCAAATCACAAGTTTTGGCCGACTTTGTGGTCGATTTCAGTGTTGTGCTGCTACCTCTGGCCACCAAAGAAGCGATGATGGTGTCGGAAATGACATCAGGAGTTTAGACATTGTTCACGGATGAAGCCTCCAACGTGAAAGGGTCGGAGCTTGGGGTAGTATTAATTACACCCTCGGGAGAAACCCTGAGGCAAGACATAAAACTATTCCCTTGACAAATAATGAAGCCGAGTATTAGGTTTTGATTGCAGGACTTGAGCTTTCCCGAGGACTAGATTCCGGGGTCATTGAATCAGATGTGATTCCCAAGTGTTGTGAATCAGGTATACGGGATTTCGACACCAAAGAGGAGCGCATGCAAAAATATATTGTGAAAGTTCAAACTCTGCTCACACGGTTCAGGGAATGGTCAATCACTCACATCCCGAGAGAAGAGAATGCAGAAGTAGACGCATTGGCCAATCTGGGCTCGTCCACGAAAATGGAAGGATCAGATTCTGATACGGTCGTACAGCTCATGCATTCGGTATTGGATGTGAACGGTTATTATGAAGTAAATGCGACCAACTTGGTGTGGGACTAGAGAAATGAAACCATCGACTACCTTGAGTAGGGCAAACTGCCCAAAGACCCAAAGGCATCCCGGGCACTCCACACCAAAGTAGCTCGTTATAGCTTCTGGGGAGGACAGTTATACATAAGTTCATTTCAAGGCCCATTGGACCGGTGTTTAGGAGCCTCTGAGGCTAATTACGTCATGAGAGAGGTTCACGAAGGAATTTGTGGAAACTATTCAGGTGCATATTTATTGGAGTTAAAATTAGTTAGGGCAGGATACTACTGTCCCGGGATGGAACAAGATGCTAAGGTATTCGTTCAGAAGTGCGACAAGCGTCAACGCCATGCGCCGTTAGTGCACCAACCGACAAAGCTACTGCACTCGGTATTATCCCCATGGCCATTCATGAAATGGGAGATGGACATAGTCCGTACGCTACCACTGGCTCCTGGTAAGGTAAGGTTTCTTTTGATTTTAACTGATTATTTCTGTAAGTGGGTTGAGGTAGGACCTTACCAGAAAATCGGCCAGCGCAAAGTGGTCGATTTCCTATGGGAGAGCATGATTTGTCTGTTCGGAATACCAAAGAAGGTTGCATGCGACAACGGGCCATATTTCATAGGCATGAAGATCAAAAAATTCCTTGAGGATATGAAAACCAAAATAATCACATCTTCACCATACAATTCGAGCATAAATGACCAAGCAGAGTCGACAAACAAGGCGATTATTCAAAACCTCAAAAAGAGATTGGAACCAACCAAAGGCAACTGGCCCGAAGAGCTACTGGGAGTGTTATGGGCATACCAGACAACGACCAAGTCAAGCACGGGAGAGACATTTTTCTCTCTCTTATATAGATCAGAAGCCCTGATATCGATAGAAATGAGAGAACATACCATGAGATACATCTGGGCAGATGAAGAAACAAACAATAAGGCGTTACTAGTCAAATTAGAGTTGCTTGACAAACACAGGGACTTGGCGCACATAAGGATGGTGGCCCAAAAATAAAGAATGGAAAGATACTACAATCAAAGTGCTAATCTCTATTATTTCTAAGTGGGAGACTTGGATTTAAGAAAAGTGACTCAAAACACCCGAGAGCTCAATCTAGGGAAGTTGGGTCCGACATGGGAAGGCCCCTACAAATTTTTCGCTGTCACCGGGAAAGGATCATATGAATTAGAAAAATAAAATGGAGTCAAGTTGCCAAGAAACTAGAACATAACTCACCTCAAAAGGTATTACCACTGATAAGCAAAGCCTATACAGAAAGTATGTGTTGCACTCTTTTTCCCTTCGTCCAGTTTTTGTCTCAATTGTCTGGTAAGGTTTTTAACAAGGTATCAATGGAAAGCATACTACGAAGGAAACGCCATCGACAGAAATAAGACCTTTAAATGACAAGGCATGGAAATGACAAACCATTGCGAGATGGTTAGATAGTCTTTGGCTCGATAGCAAAGTTCCTAATGGGAAGCAAAGCTTTCTATCGGAACAAAGGCTATTCAACCATTATTGAGTTCCCCTTCTCTACAAGCCAGTGTGGGTGGTTAGATAATCTTTGGCTCAATTGCAAAGTTCCTAATGGGAAACGAAGCTTGCTATCAGACCAATGATTATCCAACCATTCAATAGTGGAATCCTCAAAGAAGCAAGACTTTCAGTATTCCAATTCGCATTCCTCACATCCGCACACTGGGGGGGGGGGGGTGTATGACAATACGGCAACCTGATTGCTATAGAAACCGGGACTACAAAATCCGATAACAAAAATGTCTCATCGGGATCGGGGACTGTGCAGCCAGCCCCGTAGCAACAAGTTGTACAAATAGGCCACATGTAATGGCAATTTCTTATTGAACAAGCAAAATGAATTCTTATCTACTTTTGAAGATAGAAGGAATAAAATAAAGTTTTTTTGTTTTTTATTTTGTTTCTAGTCCAAACGATGAATTGATTTTATCATTTGAAAGTTAATCGAGTACTTCAAATGCTAGTGCCGTAATAAAATAGAAAAGTCCTCTTCAAGAGCATCGTGAACATAAGAGGGCCCTCTCTTATAAAACCCTCATAGTAAAAGGTTGGTTCCGGAAGAGTTTATGCCCAGAACCCAAATGCTATTGGAGAAAAATACACCCGAAGCCTTGCAAAATTTGACGCAAAAAAGTAAACTTTGCACAATGCTCAAAAAAAAGTACTTTTATATATCAAACGTGCCAAGCAGCACAAGTACACAAATGCAAAAAAAAACAATAAAAAGAAAGCAAAAAACTAAGCTACATCGCCCCCAAAAGTTTGGGGAAGAGAAGCCAGGAGAAGTAGGCGGATCTGTTGTAGGCTCGGGATCTTGGCCTCCACCATCATCATCTTAAAGTTCCTCCTCGATTCCCAAGAACTCAGAACCGAAACCAAAAGAGTCAGTTGCATCGGGCTGAGCCGGGAGGCGTCTTTGAACGGTTGACTCCAGCTCTTGGGCCTTGGCGATTTTGGCATCAATATCAACGACGCTCGCTTTGGCCTCTTCCAAGGTTTTTCTCCTTTTGCTATACATAGAATATGGTTTTTCAATAATGAGGAATATGCTCGGTGCTGAAGTTCTGATTTAATCCAATCAACCTCAGTCAAAAGTCCATCCCGCTCGGACCTCGTGGCCCTAAGGCTATAATAAAGGTCACGGATAGTTGTTATATGAACCTTATTGTGTTCCATGACCTTCTTGTACTTATCCTCCTTCTGGGAACGCTTCTCCTTAGTAGCAGCAACTTTTTCAGCCTAGGAATTCAAGGCTACCTTTAAGTTATTCAATCTCTCAGTGGAGGCAGCCTCGCGCTTGACAGCAACAAGTACAATATTTTGGACCTCAAACCATTTAGCCTTGGCTTTATGAAACTATACCTTTAACTGAGGGGCTTCTTGGCTGAGGGCTATCACTTCCTTCTCGCGCTGCTGCAATCGAGCCTCCAACTCACCGACCTCAGCAACTTGTGCTTCTAGTACCGGAAGGCGAGCAGCAACTTGGTCCCTCTCGGCCAAAAGTTGATCCATTCGGACGTATGCTTTTCTTTATCAAGGATCAACTTATAAAGGCCCTCAGAAGTAAGGAGGTTGGCCTGCAAAGCAAAAGGCTAAGTTAGACATCCTGTCATAACAAATTAAAATAAAACAGGCCGTAAAAAGAACGAGTACCATATCGCTGTTGCGTTGTGCATGGCATTATTTATCATACACTCCCCCGAATGAGAGTGTATTTTCTTCGTGTCTTTCCCTGAAGTGAGAGACTACAGGTAATTAGCGAGTTCCACCAGTCGGGACAGCAGATGGCACTCGGTAGAGACCGAGAGGGAGACACTCGTCCTCCTCTGAGGATCTGCAAGGGAGGGGGGGGCGAATAGTTGTGCCCCAGATTCCCATAGTTTGGGGACTCGGGAGGAGGAACATCCTGTTCTCGGGTGTTTGCATCCGGTGGGGATGATGTAGCAGTAGCCGGTGACGAAGGTATGGCCGGCGTCGAAGGAGATGAAGCTGATGGCGTCGTGGGTTGAGAAGCATCTTTGGCAAAGGCAGTGCTTCTTGTTGGTTGCTCACCAACCAAAGACGCAAGAGGTCTGGTATTCAGCCTTATAGTACCGGGAGCAACAACTTGGACTAGAAAGGGAGGATTGGCATTCTCCACCAAGTCACACTCTCCAGAGAGCTTGGGCACCATCCCTGTGATGACCCGATAGATCATCTAGAGTTTTATGCCATAATTTTGTGTTTCGAAATCTCAAATAGCTCTTATTAGCCTTCCTTGATTTGCATGCGCAATCCGTATCTTTTCCGAAAGGCTTTTATGTGAAAGATTGATTAAAACGTGAATTTGTGCCTTAAAAATTTATTTGAGTTGACTTCGGTCAACATTTTGAGCAAACGGACCCAAACCCGTGTTTTGATGGTCCCGGTGGGTCCAAATCCTGATTTGGGACTTGGGCGTACGCCCGAAATTAAATTCGGAGGTCCCTAGCTTGAGTTATCGCATTTTGTCAAAAATTTAAAGTTTAAAGGTTTAAAAAATTTATAAATTTGACCGAAGTTTGACTTTGTTGCTACCGGGTCAAGATTTTGGTTTCGAAGCTTGGTATAAGTTCATTACTGTATTTATGACTTGTCTGCAAAATTTGGTGCAAAAATGAGTTTGTTTGACGTGATTCGGACGTCCGGTTGTTAAAATAAATGTTCTTAAGTTTTATTGAAAATTTCATTCGTTTTGGTATCCGATTGGTAGTTCTAGGTATTATTTCGGTGGTTTAATCGCACGAGCAAGTTTGTATAATATTTTCGGACTTGTGTTCATGTTTGGTTTGGAGCCCCGAGGGCTCGGGTGAGTTTCGGGTAGGCTACGGATCGTTTGAACTTGGAAAAATTCTGGTTTCTTGAGATTTTGCTGTATCTGGTGTCAAGTGCTTCGCGATCGCGAAGCCTTTCTGGGGCTGGGGAGGATTTTATTTAACGCGAATGCGAGACCTTGGTCGTGAACGCGGAGCATTGGAAGGTCTTCTCTTCGCGAACGTGACCAGTCAATCGCGAATACGTAGTGTTAGATAGGTTAGACTGGGAAATGGACTTAATCTACGTGAACCCGAGCCCAGGCTCGCGAACGTGTAGAGAACCTCGCATTCGCAAAAGCCAAAAAGGCAGTGCTTTCGTGAACGCGTCAGGTTTCTCGCTATCGCGATGAACACCTGACGCCCAATGACTTAAATGTTTCAAAATCGGGATTTCACCCATTTTCAAAATCTCTCCCTTAGAGCTCGGCCTAAAGGCGATTTGGAGGAGAAATTTCAACACCAATTCATAGGTTAGTATACTTTAACTCATTTTCTTCCATTTCTAACATTACCCATTAATTTCTAGCCTTAATCTTTGTTCTTCTATGGTAAGAAACTAGGGATTTAGGAAGAATTGGATTTTTGTAAATTCGGGATTTAAACCTCGAATTGAGGTCAGATTTCGAAATAAATTATATAACCGGGCTCGGGGGTGAATGGGTAATCGGGTTTTGGTCCGAATTTCGAGTTTTCACCAAGCGAGCCCAGGGGTTGACCTTTGTTGACTTTTTCAATAATGATCTTAATTGAATCTCTTTCATTCGTGAGTAGTTGCTAAAGCTTATTTTGAATTGTTTGGTCAATAATTTGTTAGATTTGGTTGGCTTTGAGGCTTGTTCGAAAGGAAAGGCCGTGGTTGAACTTTGAGTTGATTGTAGAGTGAGGTAGGTGTTGGGTTTAACCTTGATTTGAGAGAAATAGGAACTCTTGAACTATTTGCTATGTGAAATTTCATGTGTTGTGGCGTATATGCGAGGTGAGGAGTGCTTATACGCCGCCGAATTACTTGTTTCCCGATCTTTTCGCATTTCATTAGATATTTCTTTCCATGCCTTAACTGTTACGTGCTTTAAATGCTTCCCATGCCTTTATTTGCTACTTGTCACTTATTATTCTTGTGTTAAAAATGGTAGATTTTCCCATGCTTTCGTGACTTACTACTATTGGCCTTAAATGACTTACTTGTACCCTTAGTTGTCGTTTATTGAATTGTCTAGCTGTTTAGTATTCATTATAGTGGATCCTTAACTTGACATGAGAATTCCTTTCTGTTTCTGTTTTATATCCATTACTCGTAGAGGACTATTGTGAATTAAGTTATTAAATTAAATGCACTTATTGATTTATTCATATTGTACGGTGGGATCGGGTTTGCTTGTCGCAACGGGTGAAATAAGGGTGGATTTGATATGTCGGAATAAGGGTGAATTTTTATTGATACGGTGGGATCGGGTTGCGTGCTGCAACAGGTGAAATAAGGGTTGATTGATGCAGTGAAAAAGGGTGAATTGTGACACTGAAGTCTAATTATATTTATTTATTATTGTTGATAATATTACGGTGGAATAAGGGAGGATTGTGTTGTACGGTGAGATCGGGTTGCGCGCCGCAACAGTCTATGTGCTTCTATTGCCTTATCGT